AAGATGTTGGAGGAGAAGCGGGTGAGGTTGAGGTCTACTGCTGGCTTGAAGCCCATAGTGCTCAAGCGAGGATTTATAGACACCAGTGTGGGTGTCAATCTTACAAGCGAGGAAGCTATGGTTCTGGTTTTAAAGAAGGAAGAGAGTGAGCGACGAAAGTTTTTGGATGCTCAACGGAAGAAGGCCCTAGCGGATTTAAAAGAAGCCCGCAGAGTTGCGTCTGTTCATGCAGCGCGTTTTCTACATAAGGAATTGGCGATGGAATATCGTGTTGCTGCGTATGGTAATAGTTCTGTTTTGCCAAGACCAATGTCTGTCCGTGGCAAAATTGCAGCGGAACAGACAATTATGAAGAAGGCTTTGGCGTCTGAGAACACTTGCAGCTTAACAAGTTTAGAGCGGCTTCGAGATCCTTGCAACCAGCTCTCAGTGGATCGGTTTGCTTATGAGATTTGATTTGCGCGCCGTGATTTACATCAAAAAAATATGGGTGAATCCAAATTTCATGATGGACTTGTCCCAATTGAAGGGGTATTTTCCCGAAAAGGAGTCTTTCTGAACAGTTCGTCAAATGAATCCCCTAAAATGACGCCAGTTCTTTGTCCCCTTTCTTGGGTTTGGCACGATTGCCTAGAGTATGCCGCAGACAATGACGTAGTAACCGTAAACAACAGGTTACGGGAAGTAATCTTTTCTTTAAAAACGCCGTATTGTCCCAAACATAGGGGTACCTTCTTGTACCAGCGCTGAAGGGCGGAGGCGGATCTAGGCTCGCTCGCGTACGCGTCTGTCCCTACCCGCTTTGTCCCCCTTTAACGCGCGCAAAGGCGGATCGCGCGTGTTAGTTATGCTGGAAGACGGACGTAAGCGGTCGGTCGTGCACAAGTCCGTGCTTTTCCCCCTTGGCCGCCGGTCCGTTCCGTTTTTAATATACAATTAGTCTATCGTAACTTAGTGTAGTGCAGTGGACACACTCGCCAACAAGGGCGTAAATCTCGCTATGAGGGAAAGCGGTATGTCCAGTCACCACCAGGGTGTTTGGGGCCCTCTGTCCGTGGTAGCTCAGAGGTAACGCGAGAATGGCGGGTAGAGTCGCGGTCAGCGCGTGTAGGGGTACTCGGGATCGAGTAACTAGAAGGAGTGGGTGTGGCGGTCGCGTCGCGGACCGCTATCAACAGCGTCGAAGAAGAACAAAACAAGAAGGGAGAAGAAAGAAGGAAGGAGAAGTGTAGCGTAGAAACGTAGAAAATAGGGGAAAAAGTAAAGGAAAACAAGAAATAGGATGACGACGAAGGGTGCAAGTACCAGACTTAGCCAACTAGATAGGAACCGTAGAGGATCCTACCAGAGATGGGGTCCGATCACCTGATGCCTCTTTACTGTAGCGCCTTCCGACACCCGACCTATATAGGCCGAGCCCGGTCGTCGGCGTCGGTTACTAAATGGATAATTAATAATTAATTATCGTCATTAGAATTGCCACTTGGCATTAGACGCTAATTAGCGTAGAAACTTGTGGGCACCATGTATGTATACGTGTCGTACACGTGTCGTACACGTATCATATACGTGTCATACGACTGTCATACACGTGCGTCCACGTGTGGCCACGTGTGGTACACGTGGGGTACCTTCCCAAGTGTGCGCGCACAGTACACGTGTCAAAGGCGGGGAGCGTGTCCCCACGACGGCGGTGGCCAGGCGTACAGTACAGGGTCACTGCACTACACTTAGTACAGTACGTACTGTACTATGCGGTACTACAGTAGTCGGCACTGTCAGCGGACAGGGCTGACTGTATACGCGTCGTACACGTATGGTAGACGTGGGAGCGCGTGCGCCCCTACACGTGTGGTACAGGCTGTCTGTAAGGTCCGTGCCTTAAAGAGCCGGATCCAATTTCTTATCTAATTCTTTTGGTAGTTATACTACAGTGACGACAAAATTAACAAGTCGTTTCAAAGCGCTGTTCGTAGTACACGCGACGAGCTCCTAAAAATGGCATTGACGAACGTGCACTCAATGGGGTTTAAATTGAAGCTGGCGGTTGCGGGACATGCTGCTGTAAGCAAACAAAATGTGAGAGATGCATTTGTAAACACGGGAGGGAGTATGGCCGATGGATTATAGGTTCTGTAATCGTTTTGAGGTCATAAAAGGTGGTGAAGTGAAACGGCAGAGCAGGCTGGCAGGGATGCAGATACATGGGCCTGCCTCCGCTGTGCGTACTTTGCGAAGGAGGAGATGCGATAGGGAAACCTTTCAAGAAATCAGAGGCATTTTGTCGAACAGTAGGGACCCGTCAACCTCTATTTGTGAAGTTGACATAGTGCTAAGGGAACACGATACTGTCAGCTCAGTATTGCAGGAGATAATACCGGTTCCTGTTGCTACACCAGCCGCTGGGACTAGGAAGAAAGTGTTGGGGTGCGGCGCTCCATCGCAGTGCCTTACTGTAGGGGCATTAATCGAACTGAGCAAGGCTGCGCACGCGACTGCCGTGGCTGAACAAGAGAGGAAATTGATAGCACGCAAACAGAGATTGAGGATTCTTGAGGAAAAAGAGAAGAAGAAAGAGGCTACTCGCATTATGAAAGAAGAGGTGCGAATCAGGCGAGCGCTCTTGCAGGCAGAGATGGAAGCACACAGAGCTAGAAAGAGACGAAAAATGCCTGTCATAGACACAGTCGTGACACAATTGAGCACCGTTCAACATCCCGAGGTCCAACTGGGGAATGCAGCTAATGAGTTGCTCAGTTTATCAAATACAAATAGTGGTGTTTGAGAAATAAATTGTCCCAAATAATGCCCTTTTTAAGTGTTGGAATTCCATTCCGTGAAGAGGAGTAAGCGATTATATGAGAGAATTAATGGACATAGATGACAATCGGACTTGCGCAGAGTCATTAGAACAGATATGCTGACCTCTCAAAGGTCTCGAATGCCTGATTTTGTAATTTTCCTAGCGTCTGGGTTCTGTTAAGGAAAATGCGTCCCAAATGTAGCCCTTTGGAAGGGTAGTACTTCGTCGGACCTCACTTTGCAATTACACACTCAAAACACCGGTTTTTCATGGAACAGACAAGCTCTTACAGGAATTCTTCATAAACTTCATCCCACGCTTCCATTATAAATTCTAAAAGCTCATTCACGTCCTTAAATTGACGTTGGTGTGCATGAACCGTTCGCGCTAGGATTCCCCATCAATTCGCCATAGGATTCAGGTCAGGTGACTTGGGAGGCCACTCTAAGACAGGATTTTCCTCCTCGTCAAACCACTGAAATGTACGTTTAGCGCGGTGTATGGATGAACCATCTTGCATAAACACCCAACTTGGACCCATTTCTTGATCGACAAACGGCAAAAGATAGGACTCTAATGTATCCATATACTTAATACCATCTTGGTGTCCACTTACAACGGCGAGCTCGCATTTCTTAGTACCGGAAAAAGCGCCCCAAACCATTACAGAATCCCCACCCAGCTACCGTTTTGAGAACATACGCTTGTAGGTCCTGTGGTATAACTACCTTCGTCCCGACCACTCGGAACGAGGAGGGTTAGAGGTAAGGGAGCGCGCGCCGCTGGGTAACCCACGCGAGCGCAAACCGTACGGAAGCACTCGAAAAGAGGGAAGGCTCACGTGGCCGGTGACGCGCAGCCGGTCGGTGGTGTTGGATCCGGACGGGCGGTCACGGGTTAGAAGCCTGAGACTTAGAGGTAAAACCGGACGGAGTTAGCAAAAAGCCGTAAAGGGAAGGGAGGCAAGTCTGCCCCCGTTTACTGGAACGGGGCAGATGCCCCCGGTCTTAACCCCTAAGTGGGACGCCAGGACACCTGTCCCGCTACAGTAGCTGTTACATACTGTATACCAGCTACTGTACTAAATTGGCTAATTTGTGCCATTAACCACTAATTGCTAATTACTTACCGGATGGGTCGCACACGTGTGCCCGTGGCCACGACCGGCGCCACCGGTTGTGCCACGTGTACGCCGTGGAGGTACTACTGTGCTCGCAGAGGGCGCGTGCACGATTACTACAGTAGTAACCGCCCGTCTCGACGGTTCTCATCTCCCACCGGGGGTCGCGGTGTGGAATTGTACCACAGGTCCGTAAATCGTGCCAATAGTACCCCAACCCATTTGGAACGTCCGAGTTGAATTCCGATTCGTTCGAACACACCACATTAATCCAATCCGACACCGTCCAAGTGACTTTTTCGCGACACCACTGCTCCCGTCCAATTTTATGTCTCAGGAGCATCATAGGAGCGGGGACTATTTGCTGTACTGAATAGTTGGCGTGGCGCGTAGGATACCTCGTACAGTTTATGGAGTTATAGGAAGACTAAGGGTCTTAACCCACTCTGAAGAACACAAATGACCTTTGTGCGCTTCGCACAAAACAGCACGCCGAGCGGTGCCGGTGAGTTTGGAGGGCCTACCGGGCGTTTTCTTCTTCCCGTACTGGCCTGGGTTCCTAAAAAAGGTGGCCACGACGTTACGGGAGCACGAGAGATGCGCCGCAATTCGCCTTATTGTCCAATTGTTGAGACGAAGAGCCTGGATCTGCCCTTGTTCATGCTGGCTCAGATGCGTGCCGCGAGGCATTTTTTCTGTGTTGAAGTGAGCTACTGCATGTTTTGTGCTTTCCCCTTCGTTTTGTATGCGTCTAGTCTCTATGGCCAGTCTTTTCGCGGGAGATACTGCATTTTGTAGAGCGGGGTTTTAAAAAAACTGCTGTGTACATAAATAAGGTTTCCATAAATACGGTACCGCCAATAATTATAGCCGCACCTCACAAATATGCATTGCTGGTTAAGGAATCTTACTTTGCATAAAAAACTGCTTTGTCCTTGACGCATTCCTGCACGCAGAGTCCAAAACAATGCTCAGATTTTGAAACACATCAATAGTTTGGAAGATATGCATCAAAAACCATTTATGGGGTGACAGTAATTATAGAGTACAGTGCTTCTAAACAACCATAACTCTGGTTCAGTACTTCGTAGTGCCACCTTTGGCCATCGCACAGTCAAAGCAACGCTTCTGCATGCTCCCTACTAACTTATCCAACGTCTCAGTGTTGATATTTTCCCAGCAGTCCATTATACATTCGAGTAGCTCATCGATATTATTAAACTGCCTTTCATGTGCGTACACTTTCCTTGCCAAGATCCCCCAAAGGTTTTCTATAGGGTTGAGGTCAGGGGACTTGGCAGGCCAGTCCATAACGTGCACTTCCTCCTCTTCAAACCATTCGTAAACGCGATTAGCACGGTGTACAGCTGCACAATCTTGCATAAACGTCCAGCTAGGACCGAGCTCTTGATCAACAAAAGGAAGGAGATTGGTCTCGAGAGTCTGAATATACTTGAGCGCATTCTGCTTCCCTTCTAAAACGACCAAGTCACACTTCTTTTTCCCAGCAAACGCACCCCAAGCCATCACCGAATCACCCCCTTGCTGCCGCTTTGAAAAAACCTTTCTATCCTTTCGTAAGTCATGCCAATGAAACGCGAAGCCGTCTGATCCGTCGAGATTAAACTTCTTCTCGTCAGACCAGACTACATTTGCCCAATCACCAGGCGTCCAGGTCACCTTATCTCGAGCCCAACTTTCTCGCGCGATTTTGTGGCGCGGAAGCATCATTGGTGCGCGTGCCCTGCGCATATACCCAAGGGTGGGAGTGCTGCTGAGTATTGCACGCATGCGGCTGGACTTAACAGGGAGCTGGAGTGTCTTGACAAGTTCTGTTGATGTCATTTCTCCCTTGTGTGCCTCTCGGATCAGCGCCCTTTTTGCCTGCGCAGACAGCGTAGACTTCCTCCCGCTCCTTTTTTTTGTTCCGTAGAGCTCGGGGGCTTTCAAGTAGTTAGCTACTACTTTTGCGGACCTGCCTAGATGCTTGGCAATGCGGCGTATCGACCACTGAGCATCATGCAGGCCCGCAATTTTTCCTTTTTCTTCAGCCGTTAAGGATTTACCGCGCGGCATAATTAGGGGGTCTGTTGGGTACTTTTCTACGCGGAGGGCTGCTTGTGTTGAAGCGTATTGTATTGGGCTTTTAACGCGCTAAAGAACGCGGCAAGGAGTCTTTCAGTTGCCGAGTTCTTGGCGCGAGAATGTGCTGTACTCTATACTTAATGTCACCCCATGAATACACATGTATTAATATCTGCAAAAGTATTTATGCTTTGCAAAATCTGATTGCAGATTCGGAGTCAGCACGCATTGTTTTATCAAGAATGTTGTTGTTTTTTATGCAACGTGTGCTGCGTGCCACAGCACGGCACAACTTGGGGGTGCGGCTATAAATAATGGCGGTACTGTATGTATCATGCGAATTAGGTCTCGATCTTTAAATCCGACCCCAGATTCGGTCTCCTCGTTGCTTTTACAGTCCTAGACGCACCTCAAATTTGGTCTTACAATACTGTATGCCAGCAATGTGAGACTTGATGGTGTCCCTATACCTTTTTTCGGCACTGTATTGTAGGGACCTGCACAGACGAGGGGATAGGTGCCTGTATCAATTGGGCCATTATTATTGGCAATGGTCTCACAATAATTGAAGTTGGAGACGCGCGTGACAGCCCGTCTCCCTCAGAGTTAGCCGGTTTACTGAAACAGGTCTGAACCCTACAACTGGTAACAGTCCCGATTGGCACATCCAAACACACGCCAAGGCCAAGAGTTTATGCATGGTGACAACGGCCTTCAGATAGGGAAGCCATGTGAGGATGGCGTACTCCTTTTTTTCCTTGTTTTATTTTATAAAAACATACCAAATGGTACAATAAGATAGGCTTGAACGCACTTTGCCACAAGCTTAGTGAGTTTAATTGCTACCTGATTTCTTCAGGCTGACCATAAGAACAAGTCTCAGTGCAGTCCTTGACATCGAAATTTGCTTTCCTCACCAGGGGCAACAAAAGGAGGTATTGTTACAGCGTTCGCCAAAATATTCTTGCGTCTATGAATTTTGGGTCTACTTCAGTGCAAGAAAAACGGAAACTGCACATTGGCACTGTCATTTGTGATCTGGCGCATGTCGTTGCTTATTCTCTTCTCTCATAACCGCGACAAGTTGTCCCCCTCCAACATCTCTCTCTGACTGCTGCACAAGTGTGTTATGGAAGTAAAGCTTGTACGTCTCATCTATCCAGCTTTCGGCGTGTCCTTCTTTGCATGCCAGGCAATCTGTTTCGAGGCCGACGGAGGATAGATGAGACTCAAAAATTCTGGTTCTATTGTTTCTCGCCCCTCAGATTCGTTTTTCATTCGAATGAACTCAGACCGCAAATAACCAAATAACGCTATCACTGACCCCCTAGTCAGATGACTGGCCCGTTCATTGACTGCCTCTTCTTGAATTGGATTTTCACGACCTAACAAATCGTAGCCGTCGTGAAATAGGCTGAGGTTGTCTGCCTTTTGGATATTCGAGTTACTTGTCCCCACCACGAGATCAGTTGCGAAAGAGACGTGATCATCACGTCGACGTCGCTTCAGCGGCCGGCGACTACGTTCTTCTGCATTGATATTTTTTTCAACTTCTCCTTTGTTTAATGGCTTCCGAGGCCTCGATGTCTGGGATGTAGTCGCCCATGCACTTGTCCCTGCCACGGGATTCTTCGCACTCCGGGATTCTGAACGAATGCCGTCTTCTCGGTGATGTGTATTACGAGCATCAGAGATCGATTTAAGCAACGCCATGGGATTGAAACTCTCCTTCCCCTTTGTCCTCGCCACTGATGGAGCTTTGGCGTCAAGCCTCCCACTGCCAACACCCAATTGGCCGATAGCTCTCGCCTTCGTTGAGCCAGGCACAATCTCGCTACTTGAACCCACAGCTGCTCTGCGCATCTTGACGTCTGAAATGTCCGAACCCTGTCGCTTTGGCGCGGCTTTAGCATCATGCACACTTGGCGCTTCATTGGCTTCTTTTTCATGACTCTCCCCATGGGCATAAGCCTTTTCAAGAACAGCCGCGTCAGTTGTTCGTGACTGCAGCTGGGGATTTGCTTTCAGAACGTTCTTGACCTTTTCGCTCGGTCCCTTCCGCCCCGCCACACTAGGGTTTGGCACTTCATTTGCGGGGTCTGCTGAAGTGGCGGTTGCGCTTTGCATAGCACCAACATTGCGGCGCTTGGTCGAGGTTTGCCGCTTCCACCAAACGGCAACTCTTCGAAATGTCAATAAAATCGATCTGACGTCGTCGCCAAGGGCCTGACGGCGAGCATAGAAAGGTCTTCCATCATCCTTCGAATTCGCCGAATGAAGAAAGTATTTCTTGTATTCCTTCAGCTCCGAAATAAAACCTAGTCTTGCTTCTGACTGAGAATATGAAATAAAAGTAGTGATGCCTGCTAAAAACCGCTTCACTTCTGCTCTTTCGGAAGCGTCTTCTTCGTATTTTCTGTGAAGTTGTGAGACTTCATCCGCTATGTACTTTGCCCATATAAGAATGTCTCTCAACGCGTCTAAAGCATGTTCTAAGTTTCTCATAGCGCTTCGCTGGGGACTGTAACTAGACGCCGAGACTTCGCTGAGAGATGCGATTTGAGTGAGAATGTATCGGATAGGAATTCCTGCCAGATTCAGGTTGACAACATGCTCGATTACTTCTCTATCTTGCATGCGGGGTGTCCCTCCTACCGGGTTCATTAAACTTTTGCAAGTATCCGCAATTTCTCTGGCTTCACGTGCAACATTTTCAAGTTTCACTTGCTTTTGTTGTATTGCTAGTTGCCACCGAATGAATGTAAATTGAATGCCATGCAGTGCGGACGATATTGGGGTCTGTGATGAGGGCATGGCGTCTGATTTGTCAACTGGTTGTGCTCGGGTTCTGGCACCATGCTCAGAGCTTCGAGGATGCACAATCCCAGCAGTTGCGTCGCTAGCAAGTATGCGAGAGGAGGAACGAGAATATCCAGGCTTCTCCGCCACCTTCGTCGGAGACACTACAGGACCTGCTTCCTGACGTAGAATCAGAGCTGCTTTTCTTCCCCCATGGAGAGGGGCGGTGTCATTTGTTGCAGCAGTTGGAGCCTTTTGATCGCGTGCATTATGAGGGCCCTTGAGTATTCCTCTCTTACTTTGAGGCAATCGGGATCTGCTTTCCAGATTGAAAATAGTTCGCAATTCTCTCCTAAACCTAGTCGTGACTTCCTTGCTGATTCCAGACCCAGACGCAGACCCAGATAAACATAAAGACTGCACCAGTAGCTTGATGCAATATTCAAATGGCTCTGTCATTAGATCGCTGCAATTCTTGCCCTTTACACCCGACGTTGACGAACTATTGTCCGTTGTTACCACATGAAGACTTCCTCGCGCTAGTTTCTGCTGAAGATCAACCCCACAAGTCAGGCCCTTCGAAAACGGAGGTTTCCTTTGCAACTGCGCATGTCTGGCCTTCTCCTTTTTCGAACCTGAATTGAAGTCTTCATTTCCAGAATGGGTAGTGTTAGGAGTGCTCGATGAATTAGTCTTATGTGCATTGGCGGGAGCTTTATCCTTCTGAGAGGGTATGGTTCTCTGATCACTGTTCCCTCGTCGCCGGGACAACAGTTCGCCATCCCGTTGCTCTTGATCAGTATGAGAGCCTTTTCCATTCTTTCCTTCCAAGACGATTGCACGCGCTGGGATAGTAGATGTGCTTTTCGCAGAGCGCTCCGTCATCGATGCTTGTATTCCCTCTCTTGCATGTCGTTCGGGTGGTACACGCCGATGTAAATTTGGGAGACTTCCACGCCTGGCATTTGCTTCATTTGCGACCTTTCGCTTTTGGGTCAGCTGGGAATTCTCGGACGGGACAGTATCGCAGTTCCCCACTTTTGTTGCTCTGCTGAGCCGCTCAGATTGTGATGGACAGTCCGTCGAACTCCGTTCATCGCGTATTACAGCGGTCTCATCTCTTTCTTCTTTGGCCCTCATCTCAGAACTACCTGCAGTTCTTAGCGATTTCAGGGAAGGGGGTTCAGAAGTCTTGGTTGATGGTGCACTGTTGTTGTCCAGTGTTTTTATAGTAGGCCCACGCACTTGAATGTCGCTTCGACCATGATGTATAGAGGACGTGCCCGACGTTCGTTGAACTCTTTCCGCATGGCCACTAGCCGAAGCAGCAGTACCATGTTGAGATTCTTCGTGTCGGGTGGAGGCATGCATTCGAGCGGCATGCGCTGCTTGGATGGCAGGGTCCGCGAGAATTGGTGGGAGTGATTTGGTCGGCTGATACAGCTTCTTTTGGTTCCTGACAAACTCCTTCAATGCGGCGGATTGTGCATCACTTGCTAGTGTGTTCGATATCGATTTCGCAGAAAAAAGCCTAGAATTGTTCTCAACGTTCGCAAGATCTAACTCAGCATCTTCAGGTGAGAGGATGTTCCTCTCATTTCGGTTTTTGGTTCCGGATACCGAAGGAATTTTTGATGGCCCTCGTTCGTCCGGGAGTTGCTGCCGTACTGCAGTTGTCGGTCCAGAATTCGCAATGGGGGTCGCATGATTCAATGCTGGATGTGCGATCATGCGGCACCCGCGGGTGCTAAGGTGTCGGGGAGGGCCGGATGCACCATAACTGACAGGCGCAGCTGAAGACTGCACATCACCCTCGACACGACTTTGACTGTTCGAGTGTATATTCGACTCGGCAAGGGCACTCGATAACTGCTCCACGGGTAGTGGAGCCATATTAGAGACGTTAGAAACGCGGGGAAACTTTGTGGCGGGGGAAGGAGGTCCCTCACAGCCAAACACACGCACAAGCGGAACAATGGCATATTTTGTACTGGGAGGAATTGGCAAAAGCTGAAAGCTTTGTTCGGGTAAGCGACTAGCAAGTAAACGCGAAGCTGGGGTACCATCTGTCCACTCGTTGTCGCGAGCACCTTCGCCAATGACGACATAGTGCGCGACGGAAGACTTTTCCGGTTCAGATTCCGGTTGCTCTGGCATTACTGGATATTAAACAAATGGGCAGAAAGCATTCATACGTCAGGGGATCACAAAGGAAGTGAAGCTTTGCGTTGCTTCAAAGCACTCCGCAATCGTTAGAAAAACGTCACGTTCCGAGGTGTAGTGCCAGAAGAAACGAAAGTTTGTGTGCTCGTTCACAGGGCAGACGGAATCTCAGTGCTGGTGGCGGCCGGCCAAGTATGGCAAAGATTGGGATGGTTTTTTGCTTGTGCTAGTGCCCGGCAAGTCTGAGAAGTGTGCGGTGATGAAAACTGGAGGAAGGCTTTGCAGGCGAAAAAGAGCGTACCGCACAGTAGCCGCCGTAGTTTCAAGGGTACCGTGCTGTTCGATCCCCAGACCATTTCAAAATAATCAAAGAACTCATATTTATTTGCAAATACAGAAAATACGCTGCACACGTGTGCCGCAGGAGAAGCTCCCGATTTGTCGGAATTTATCCTCCGAACTCGAACCAAGTCCCGTTCAGGTGACCTCACCTGCTCTGTCTCGACAAACATGCCTATCGTTCTGACAGTTGTGAAACACCCTCGTCTCTTCGGCGTAATATCGCAGCTTTGCATCAAGATTATCACGGAGCTCGGGCTCAAACATTTATTCATGGGTCGAAAGGAGCGGAAAGCCAAATCGTTTCGCTACAATTGCAGCGGTGGCAAACCAGAAATGGGATTTCCAAAGACCCTCGCTGGTTCGTCTAGTCTCCCAGAGCTTCGAGAAAACCAGACCATCGCAAAGAGGTATTCGCACGCTCATCTTCTCATTAGGTCCTTTAATTTCCACCTCCTTCAACCCCTTAACTAATTTTGAAACTAGAATTTTAACAAGTGCTGCCTGTCCAATCTGTGTTGTTATAGGAAGTCCCTAAAAAGACCGAGACGGATGGGAAAACTCGCCATCGAAGCTCCCTCGCCCTCTCACCCGCCCAAATGCCCTCGTGAAGTGAGGATAAAGCCCCCTCTTCTAACGTTTGGTAGAAAGTCGAGACCTTCCTCACCAGCAATGCGAGCTGCCTGCGATCTGGGTGACCCTATAGTGACACCGCTTACGACTCCGAAGCTCCCTTCCAAAGGCATGCGTGAAAGGGAAGAAGCTCAGGTGTTGAAATCAATCGAATTGACTGGGGTCGCCACCGACGAAATACAGAAGAAGCCCTGTTCCCCAACAATGTGTGAAGGACATCACAAAAATGCCATCCAGCTGAAGGCTCAAATAACTCCGCACGTTCTGTCTGGCACGCATGAACTGAAGACGCATGACGAGTCAGAAAGCGAGGTGAAGTCTGTTTCGCAAAGGACTGTTGTACGTAACATGGCACCAGAGGTTCAGTCCGAGGATTGCAAGACCCCATCGTATGTGGTCTGTGAAGAGTCGTCCTCTGGAGTCCATTCTGGCGGTCTGCTATCCAATCATATTACGTTGAGTATGGAGACTCTGAGGACACCGATATGCTCACAGAGATTGCTGTTAGCGCGTCCCAGCTCCAGCAAACTGAAATCAAGCATTCCTCAACAGTTCAGAAAACCCGGACATGGAACTGCCAGCTCGCATAAAAACCCACAGAATCCATGCCGTGCATTGTCGTTTGAAAAAGCGGAGGTTATGGAGCACAATAAAACGCCTGGAAATGAGCAGGAACCCATGCTTCTCCAATCCACGCTTGTTTGGAAAGCCGTCAAGCCGAAAACTTTTAGAAAGTTATTGAAGGGAAACGGGCAGGATGACAGCGTTGGAAGAGAAAAATCACTAGCTACCCCGTTTGATATCGACGCACGCATAGTAGTGAAAAGTTCTGACGGCGTTAGAGCTGGTGCTGCAGATGAGCTAGACGACCGACAAGACACATCTAAGCGGAGAAATGCATGGACCCGGGTCGCCAAAGAAATAGTGATGTCTTCCCCATACTCGGTGGCCAGTCGCAGAAAAGAAATTGCTGAGACCGGGCATGGTATAAATGGTAGGTCCCTGAACAGGTCCAAAAAAGAAGAGGAAAGCGGCGAAGTCTGCAAAAGAGCAGAACCTCCCATGCTTGCGCGTAAGCTGAATGATACAGAGTTCTCCTCTGACGAAATCCTGGAAAGCCCACTACGTTATACCGCACGTGCTGAAGGCGAAGAGGAAATTATTATTTATCAGTCACAAGATCTAGCAAAGACAAGCGACGACACTTCGTTCTTGGAATCGAGTGAACAGCAAGGTGCTGGTTGTTACAGGGAATTCGTGAGCACACCTCTGAAAGTGGCTGACGGAAGGCAGATGGCTCCCAACCGTCAACAGGTATGTTCTCCTGCTGGGAAAGACGAAGAAAGTTTTGCCAGTGTGACGGAGCCTCCAACTCCAGATGGCGCTTTCAAAGAAAAAACCGACGAGTTGCAGAAGAGCAGCCGTACTACAGTACTATGTAGATCTATGCTTGTGACGATCCCTGCTGGCGCATTGCGGTCTCCCGAAACACCAGACAGTGTTTCTAAGGAGTAACTAATCTCCTTGCACGGAAAATATCCACAGTAAATCAACGTATGGCGCTATGTGAATATGTCAAGGGACAAGAGTAAGTACGCCGTCACCTTTTACATAAGATACGAAAACTTGGAGGCCGAATTAGATGTTGTACTGGATAATACAGTATTTGCTAAGCATCTATAAGATGACTAGACTTCACGGACGTATGAAACCAGCATGTCCACCACGGAGGCTTTGTTCGACTTGGCAGCAGCAACAGTAGACTTGATGTTCTTCTGTGCGGTAGCGGCGATTTTGTCGGAAGTTTCGCCCGTTGAGCCGACGTATTTCTTCACCTGAGCTTGATATTCATCCTCCTTCGCTGCACGATATTGAGCGATCTCGGCATCGGCTTCAGACGCGGCGGTCTTCAGCCTGACGTCTCTTTCTTTACGCGCTTGCTCTACGAGTGTTTTCGCCATCTGCTCCGCTTCGAGAAGAGTTTGAATTGTTTCCGCAGGTTTGTCGGCCATGGTGATTGGTAGGGGTTCGAGGGCTTCGTAGGTGTAGAAAACGAGGGAAGAGCTGACTCAGGAACTGTGGATGGATATCCTTGAAGGAACTTCAAATGCAGGGCGATCGTTGGCGATGGAAGAAGCTGCCTGAAACAAAGGATGGAGTGGAGAAGGGGGGGAGCAGGCGGGAGAAGGGGGGAGAAGGAATGCCAGGATTGACAGCGAAAGGACAAACGTACTTTGCGCAATGACAAGTGTAGGCAACGACAGTGTTTCGGAGCTGGTGGGCGGAATGGCTGAAACGGTATAAAAAACAAGTTCAGTTAATTTACCCTGAAGGGTAGTTTCATGATCATTGAGAGGTACGGCCTTTTTATGCCTCTCCAGAGGGGGCCAGGCCGCCAACAGCAATGACAGAGCAAGCGGAGCAGAGTACTGAACGATTACTTGCGGTTAGTGGATACTTAATCGGGCACTACAGTACTGGGCGACTCCGAAAAACATAAATTGTGTACACACAAATTTCCTTGTGTATGTGTGTCGTATTTTGTGCCTTGGCACGGAAATGCATGTGAACAAAAATTTGTGTAAGACACATTTAATGCCAATTCACCCTCAGTGAGGTGTCAGCACGCCGGCGGACGGATTGCGGTACCCCCTTCACGCCCTATCCTATGATACCCAAATGAGAAATCTCCTCCTTGTTTTGCTGTTGCAACGCGCAAAAAGGCAACGCACCATCACTTTTCGTCACCGCCTCAACACGGAAGGGCGAAGACGACGAGACAGGCGGATAACAAGGAGTGCATTGCATCACCCCTCTACATCTCCATTTGCCGTTTTGTTCGGTTCAGGATGTGACCAATCCCTTATCACATTTTGCGGGTTCGATCACGCTTCTTTTCGCTACCTCCTCCCCCTGTTTGAACCCCTTTATCTTCGCTTCACACCTTACAGCTCTGACGGATTTATTCGCGTCATCCCGCGACGGCGCACGCGAAGGGGAAGACCTCGGTTGCTATCGGCTGTCCACTGCTTAGCTCTGACACTTTGTTGGTACAGGACAAGGGGTTCTAGTATGGTCTTGTCAATGCTATTAGGCATAACTGCTTCTGTTTGCTCTATATTTTTACGATTCGGTCGCCGCTTGTTGAGGCGCGTCCTCAACTCTGATCATAAAGCTCGCATTAAAATGCCCACAGCGCAAGAGATTAGTGATTACAAAGAAGCCATTTCCGCAAAGTACTCTCTTCTTCAAGATGTGTATGCCATGGCGGATGGACTGAAGCTTTATTTACAGGAGAGCGGGAACGGTGTAATTCAGAACATGTTTTACAATGGGTGGCAACATGATCACTACGTCGGAAACGTACTTGTTTTTGTGCCTTCCGGCGTAGTGATCGCGGCAGCGTACCATGCTCCCGGGTGTCTCCATGACTCGGTTATTGCCGAATGGGGCAATGTATATCGAAAACTTGAGGAAACATTTGAAAATCATGGTGCGACGTGCGTTGTAGATTCTGCGTTTAGTAAGGGAGACTACCCTTTTGTTATCAAATCTGCGCAAGATATGCCAATGAGCAGTGACCGAAATGTTCATCAAAAGGCGCAGCAAGCGACATCCGTCAGGCAAGCATCGGAGTGGGGAATGATAGCCTTTCAAGGCTTTTTTCCGAGATTGAAAGATCGTTTTTGCTATGAGGAGCGAGGCGAGAGGAAGATCATACTCCATCTCACCATTTTGCTCTTCAATTTGAGAACCCGGTTGGTTGGCATCAATCAGATACTCAATACCTACATGCCATATCTGGGCGTCGATGCGAACCATTTGCTGTTTCGAAACGTATGAGAGGCCACCACTCGCCTCTACACATTTGGCGAGCACTGAGCGGCACGCGAGCAGCGCGACTGGCTTGGCAGAGAGGTGGCCGGCGCGTTCGATGGTGGCCTGCACGGGGGAGTGACGGGCCAAGTGAGCGGGGTAGCGGTGGGTCACTTGGGGGTAGACATGCAGCGGGCCGGAGACAGGGAGCGGGGGTTTGATGTGGGAAGTATGCGGGGGCGTGCGCACAAGGACCCACAGGCCCTTGTACACGGGCGGGGTGGTGTGCGGGGGCGGTGTGTGCGGGAGAGGTGAGCTGTCAGGACGGCTCGCCCAGCATCGGGAGCGGGCGGAGGCTCGCGGTGGGGCGCGTGGGGCCGTATGTGACCAAGACGTGGGCAAGGGCGGGGGACAAAGCTGGGAGGGTAGCGGTCGGGGTGGACAGCGTGAGCGTGAAGAGGACGAAGCGGGTGGCGCCGATATTGCTCTCGGTCAGAGGGGTGGAAAGGTAGGTCGCCGCGTGAAGGGTTTGAGCGAGAGTAGAGAAATGGACATGTCAGGGCCATCCCCCGCGACACCACTCGATGTTTGCAGCAAAGGATAATGCCAAAGCTTGGGATGTTGATAGCAACCGGTGCTTCCATTTTAATTTCCAGGTTTCTTTTTGCATTCTCATTGTGTTCTTAGCATCTCCAGGTATCTCACCTTCTCACCTGCCTGTTAAAGGCAAGTCACTGTGTGATGTGAATATATATACACAGTAAAAACAGGAAGACAGACCAAACTCTATCAAGCGTTTAAGAAAACGACGAACAACTGGCGCATCGCCTTGGACTCGTGCCGCTGAAGATCGACCCGCGGCCTTTTGAGTATTGGGAAAAGGGTCTACCGGTGACAGTAGCGAATACTGTGAAGTTAAGCTGGCGGACAAAGTGTGAGCTTAACCCGTCTGCGCCGAGAGATGGTGAGGCCCCCCCTAACGTCTTGTACAAAAATTCCAGCGTGTTAAGCGGTTCAATTGAACATGTCCCGTTCGGAGGTCATGAACAAAGTAAGTTCATCGGCAATGAAGTACCAAGGCCTGTTCACGAGGATATTCTGCTATGTAAATTACGGCCTGGACAGGAAATCCATGTTGAAATGGATGCCACGAAAAACATCGGCAGGGAACACACGAAGTGGTCCCCTGTTGAGACAGCTGGTTACAGGATGCTTCCGGAAGTGAATTTGAAAACTCGCGTTGTTGGTGCAACTGCGAGAAGACTTGTGAACGTATGTCCGGCGAAGGTGTTTGATATTGATGACGACGATGCGGTTGTGGCACGACCACGGGATTACGGCCTTGCCCCGTGTGAGCTGCTGCGTCCGACCCTATTTCCCTGTTCTCCGCTTTGCCGGGCCGATCCACCTGCGTTCCGATCTGGGCAAACAGCGCCGCTTCCATCGCCGCCTTGTTCTTGGCCTGTTTTCTTAGCCGCTTCTCTTCGCGCCTTTTCCGTCCCTCTTCCTTGGTCTCCTTGCGTTTCTGACTGGACTGGCTCGGAGTTTGTGCCGCCACATCTGTCTGAGACACTACATCCGCCTGAGTCAGCACGCCGACCTGACTTGCCTCCGCTTGACTCGCCTCCGCCTGGCTCGCCTCCGCTTGACTCGCCTCCGCCTGGATCGCCTCTGCATGACTCGCCTCTGCTTGACTCGCCTCCGCTTGACTCGCCTCCGCTTGACTCGCCTCTGCTTGACTCGCCTCCGCGCTCGCCACCGCCGCCCCGTTCGCTTCGTCGTGCCTCAGCGCGACCTGCACTTGCTCGAACTTGACGCTCCGCGCCTCGACCTTGGGCGAAACGGTCTTACTGCGGTGCCGCTGGCTCGAGGTGTGCTTTTGTTTCTTCTTCCTGCCCGTTTTCGGGGATGGAGTGGAGACCGGCGGCAGGGCGGTTCCAAACGGGCTTTGCGAGAGTGCGTCGCCAAAGACGTTGGAGCTGAAGGGGTCGTCCTCTAAGATGGCGGAAGCTCTCGCGCGGGAGCCGGAAGAGCGTCTGCTAGCGGCGAAGACATCGACAGTCTTCGCGGGAGGTGTCTCGCCACTGGGCAGCAGGTCAGCGTTGGCGCTCGTAGGTTGGTTGTGGATGTCAAGCGAATCGTCGGCGGGAATGGAAAGTTGGGCATCTGGGTGCTGCACGCCGAGCGGCTCGTCGGGACGATGTGTTTCGCGGCGAATGTCGTCGTTGAGCGAAGCGTGAATCTGGAAAAACCCGGTGTGGGAAGGCTTGATGCCCTCTACTACAAAACGAATGTGGCGCCCTAGAGTGACGTGTTGATTAAATGGTGATGTCTCGTTTACACAGCGCCATCTCCTTACGAGGCCGTCCTCCCCAAAGTGATAGTCATATGCGTAAACGTGGCGCAGTGGTTCAAGAGGAAGCACGGCGTGAAACGCGTGCAAGACGGAAAGACCGACGTGATCAGGGCCTACGTGCTTGACGACGCCGACGAAGACGGTGCCGCGCGGAGGGGAGAAAACGAGCAGGCGCGCAGTGGCGACGATATGGGCATAAGGGGAGGCGCCGACGATGGAGGACGGTGGTGCGTGCTCGAGGACTCTCCGCGATGGTTCGGTTGCGTGGGAAGGGGCGGCCAGTTGCTTGTAAGTTGGGGCATGTTAGCGGCATGTTAGCAGCGAGAATGTTATTGGCAGAGGAGGTTTGGGGGCGGCGCTCGGCCGTCCACACGTAGAGGGCTCCCAATTCATGTGACAAGCATTGCAAATGGAGCAATGCTTGCCACATGACCTGGAGGGGGGGTGATGTTGCTTGATGTGGTCACAGCATGGGTTTTGGGGGGAGGTTGCGGGGAAGTGGGGGCGAAGGTGGGCAATGGAGCGGGGGATGAGCAAGTTGCACAAAAGGTGCGTGCCATGACCGAGGTGCTGGAGCGATCGTCCCACGAGGTGGCTCTCAGCCACGTGACACTGTATTCATTCAGCAAGGCGGATATTTTACGGGTCTCCTGGTTGCTGCGATTTTGTCAAGTGGCAAGCATTACAGATGAAGCAATACTTGCCACATGCCTTGGAATGGGGGATATGCTGCTTGATGTGGTCACAGCATGGGTTTTGAGAGGAGGTTGCCGGGAAGTGCGGGCGAAGGTGGGTAATGGGGCGAGGGATGAGCAAGTGGTGCAAATGGTGCGTACGATG